CCTTGGCCGTCTTCTAGACATAGCGCGGCAAGTTGAGTGTTTCCTCGACATAATCTAACATCCATGCCACACAAAATCGCGTATCTGATCTTGTAATATTCTGGTGCTAATAGGCAGCAAGAATATGGCCCGATTTTGTTCTTGTTTTATTTTTGTCTTTATTGCTTCACTATAACACCTTCTTCTGCCTGTCCTATTGGTAAACAACATAATTTCTCAATCGTGTGAAAATAAAAATAAGAACACATATGCCTCCAGCACACAACAAAATATATTCCAAGACGCTTATGCAATATGGAAAAGAAACAACAGCAGGTGATAAATCAGGGGAAATGTTAGCGTAGGAGTGTTGCATTTGTTTACTGTATCTGTATGTGTGTGATTGAGATAGTATCAACCCTGTGAACAATCCGTGGATTAGAATGATGTATTTTGGCCTTTTATCCAGCTTGAACTTCAGATATAAGTTGTGGTGAAACAGCTCTGGAGTATGTCTGCAACTCCATTGTTATTTAGCATCAGTTGAGCATGGTACAGTGACTTGCAAAAGTCTTGATCATTTGCACATTTTGTCATGTCTACTACCACAAAAAATGTTGTAAGATCACATAAAGTGATCACATACTGTAAACAGACAACTGTTACTTGGAAGCAAAGTGATGCATGATTGTGTTATTTATGAATGTATGAAAAAAACTGGAATGGGAATTGCAGAAGTATCGTTTAACACTTTAATCCCCTTTTCTACAATCACAGCAGCAAGTCATCTGGGGAATGAACGACTTTGCACAACTAATATTTGCCCCATGTACAAACTCCCCCAGCTCAGAGTGATCCAGAGGCACATGGTTGCCTTTCTGCTCAGTACTCCTCTTGTTCGGCCAGTTATTTCAGTTTGGTTTAGGTGTTTTCTATTTTTTAATAATGGATTGAACGGTGCACTGTTCAAAAAATTGGGAAATCTTTGTTTGACATAATGCTGTTCAAAGCTTTTCCACAACTTAATCCTCAAACTCTTTGGTCTTGACTTGATGTTTAGTGACCACAGCTCTGAGGTCATCACAGAACAGCTGTAATTCAATCAATTCAATTTACAATGAGAAACTAATATATTACAGACTCATTACGTTTATGAGTAAGTGTTATGATGTTGAAAACTGGCTCACAGCTAACAAAATGTCTCTATATTTTAAAAAATTGAGATATATTTTGAAAATGTACTGTAAACAAAGGCTTGGTTGGCGTATCACTTTGCATTGTAATCTATTTCTATCACATATTGGTTTCACCTTATAAATTGAATTACATAAATAAATGTAAACAGATTCTAATTATCTGAGTTTCACCTGAATACTGCAAGATTACACACAGTTCTTTTTAATTGTTCAGTACATGTGAAACTTATAATCAACAAACTAAAAAAAAAAAAAGATAAAAGTTGTTACTTTTGCTTGTTAGAACTTTTGCAACCCTCTGTATATGACATTACATTTCAACGGTAACTGTGAGTGGGTTTACTTCTCCACATGCCATGAGTTTAATGATATACAAGAGCATTCGAAGCAACAGACTTTAGTTTTAGATTAGGTGGCACTGATTGGCCAACATGCGGGCCCATTAAATCAACCCGTTAGCATTCACAGCTCCAAGAACGCCTAATAAAATGGTCCTGCCAAATTTGAGTTACGCAATATTCTTCAAGCCTGTTCCTGTGTACAGCTGTCTGCTCTCCCATTCAATCTGCATGTCTGTGAGCCTTCATGATTGAGCTCCTATTGGCATGACATCAAAAAGGCTATAACTATCCATTTAGGTAATATGTCTGTACCCATATTTACCACATATCTTCAACTAGAATATATGAGGCTATAATATTCTATAACCAACCCCATCTATTGATACGTGCAAAATATCGCTCCTCTTGTTATTCTGTGACACAACAATTTTAACACTCTCCGTCTCTCTCCCTCTCTCTCTATGGAGTACAGTCTGTGCTGACAGCCTGTTCCTCCACAATTGATTTCTACCCAGAATGCATTACAAGTCAATGAAGATAGAGGGGGAACAACAGTGCGTCAATCAGATACTCAAAATTAGGAGAAAGGTTTACACTCATAAGGACACTTAGATACAACTTTTTCCATGTCAAAATTGTGTTTCTTTTGTTATGGTAATTCAAGCCAATGTTCAAACAATATTTTCTGCTGTTTTTTCAGCTCTTCAACTCATTAGCTGCCCAGTGCTCTCCTATTGATTTCATTTGTTATTCTGTCCAGCGGTGACACACAAAAAGCTGAATTGTAGAATCTAAAATGAGGGAAGCGGTCTGGTTACCATGGCAGTTGAACCTTATTCTTAACTAGATTTATCCAACCATTCGATCAATACGTTAAAGCGTGCAAATTCAACTTTGCCTGGTGGGTTTTCAGTTGCGTCTGAAATGTTCTACGTTGTCTGCATTACTGTTGTTATTTTAAAATGTGGGCTTTTGAAATAATGCATTTTTCTTGTCCCAACAGGAAAAAGTGTAGTTTTAGAAACAGTTTGTGATCAAGTCTGGCCATTACATGCTGTCTTTATGTTATCAGAAAATATGTTTTTTTACATACTGAGAGAGGGCTGGTACTTTTTCATCAAACAATGTGACAGCAAAAATACATGCATGAGGAAACTGTAATCAAACTGTCTTGTGGTTTAAAAAAAAGGCACTCTAGCTTTAGTTAAACATACAGACATATTGACTTGCAAAACATAACTTCTGAATATGCATTGTTTGTTTTATGTTTTTCCAATGGAGCAAAGTGAGATAATTACCATAAAAAGATCCCCGTTTTTTTTGTTTAAAAAAAAAACTGAAATCAGACGATCACTGATTTATTCATATGTCCACATATAGATGGACATGTGTTGGGCGCAGGTGAATCACTGTATTGACCTTCTATCGGCAGTCTCGTGTCCAGTGCACCGCTGCTGGCAGACCCCTCCCCTCTCAAACATCCAGACTCGTGTCCCTCCAGACGACATTTCCATGTATTAATCCTACAGAAGGTCACAGAGGTGGAGGGGGAATGATGATGTGAAAAGTGACCCCCCCATAGGGCAGGGTCATATTTACATTTTGACTTGTACAATGTCACCTTGGAAATCACACTACTGTGCATTAAGCATGACTCTACTCTTTCTGATGTGGAAATGATATAACTAATCACCATCATCATGCATTTAAACCACTATGTTTAATATGTATTTTTTCTTTGATAGACAATTTAGCCAAAAAATAACATTTTCACAAAAATACATGACAGGTTATTTCTCTTCCCTTTTCATAACTCCAGGTTAAACTGAATGCCTTCGACATCAACAGAGTTTTTGTACACATTAATAATTCAGACATTTTAGTCATCTACAGACTTATTCTCTGAAGGCATTTCACTTGCAAGTATCGCTCATTTTCCCCGGGATTCACTTTTGATCACTCCCTCAGAAGCAGCACTTGAAGATTAGAAATTTCAAAGAAGGACTAAGGAAAAAAAAAGATAAAACTGCAGAGAAACAAGAGATTGTGGTAATGTCAATATTAAAGAAACCGATGCATGGCCCTCCCTTTTTGTAACGTCTCCCATGGGAAATTCAGGATCTCACCCTTTAAAGTTTATGCATTTCATGTCGGGTCAAGATTTGTTTGATCAGGGCCGGCCGCGGATAAAGGCCTGGGAGGGGGGGCGGCACTTTGGGGGCCGGGGATGAGTGACAGTCCCATGAGGGTGGAGGAGCTCAGGATGAAGATGGGGACAGACCACATTTCATGCTGTCTGCAATGCGCTGTGAAGAGACGCAAAAGTTGTGCTTCCAATAACATTGTGACGTTACTACTCTTTCAGAAAATGATCTTGTCAGCCGGGCTTACTTGATGCGTGACCCGTATTGTTCCACTTTGATTCCATTCAATATGACTTGGACCACTATGAATACTTTGACCCTTTGCATATTCATCAAAACTTGACCTAATTGTCTAATAGTTGATGAATCCTCTGTGTTTTTGCATTGATTAAACAAAAACAGACAAGCAAAGGAGATTCTCAATTAAAATACCTAAAGGCAAAGACTTAAACACGAAACGTAACAATGTTTAAATGACTTAAAACAAACTATTTGTGCAGCGAAAGCCACATTAAGTGCATTGACCCATTGCATATTCATCATAACTTGACCTAATTGTCTAATGTTTTATAGGATATTCCATAAAAAATCTTGTGAATCAATTACAACAGAAGTAACAGAAGTAACCATGATATAAATCATTTTTCAAAATATTTTATACCAAATTGTTATTGTCATTTGTGTATATTCTCTCCACTGTTCACTCTCCTGCTCCCTCACCACTCAAAACATGTACAATAACTGTCCTGGTTAAACAAAACAAAGAAAGTCTTCATATTATCTGAATTTATTTAAATACATACAAAAGATCTTAAAATTATGAATGTGCCCTGAAAAATGTAACGTTTGATTTAATTTATCAATTGAAATAAAAATAAAAAAACATTTTGAATCCTCTTTGTGTCTTTGCATTGATTTAACAAAAACATACAAGCAATGGAGATTCTCATTTCAAAAACCTAAAAGCAAAGACGTTACCCTTAAAACTATTTGTGCAGCTAAAGCTACATTCAGCATCCTGGAGCCGTCAAGTGATTCTTACGTTTTCTCTGTAGTTCATAATTCAGTCTTCTCTTGAATATCTATTATTCCCTGCCTGGACATGTGGCCGCTAATGTGCAACGGGAAAGAATCAAATCATGCATCCCCAGAGCAGCAGGAGACTCTTGCATGTGTGTATTTTTGGAGTGAGGTTTTGCAGAGATGCTTTGTCAGCAGTGGTGAGTGTGCGGCTGGTGGTCTCACACACACAGATGAGCACGCAGACATATCATCGCTGTATCGACTCAGCTGGGCTCAGAGCAGCGCCATCATGCTCTTATTGATCACAGCTCTATGAGATGCCGGGCTTGGTATTCTACTGTAGATATACAACATACTCAGGTGGAAAATGTGAGTTTAACATCCAGTTCTGGCAACAGCAACAACAATAACTATGACTACAAGAAGACTTTCTATTTCAAACATGCACAATACATATTCAACATAAGATACATATGTTCAGCTCTAGGTCTAGGACAAAACAAGAGTGAAATATAGGGTGAAAAATAGGATTGCACCACAGGAAATATATTTAAACTATTGGGGAATGTTTTCTTGTGCCGCAGTTTGAGAAAAACGTTACTGGCCCACACTTTGGAGTTAGGTGTAGTATGTAGAAGAAAAAGAATGATGGAGGAGGCACTATGATATATCAAATCAAATGCTATTGTTCTTTTTCTTCAACAATCCATGCCCTCTGGTTTGATGAGCCTCACTGGATGTGCACCAGTGCAGCACTCCACATATCTTCACCTACACATTGTATTGATCAATTTCTTATTTTCTTATTCAATAGTATATTGTAATAATTGTGGTATTGATTGTATAGTAACATTAAAATTAACCAAGCTTACCAACAGCTTACTCTACTTACAAGAGATAGTCTAGTATAGGCTGAATGACTTATTTTATGTAAATTTAAAAAAATAAAAAATTATGTCATACATTTAAAAAAAAATGTGGACCACATATGTCAACTGTCACTTTACTTTGCACTTTACTGTCACTTGTTCAGTAATAATAATAATAATAATAGTAATACATCAAACTTATAGGGCGCTTTTTTGGACACTCAAAGACGCTCAGTAGTTCCATCATCACTGTGAATATTTGAGCCCACAGATCTAATGACTTATTACTTCCACATTCTTGCACTAGTGTATTACAGATTTATCTATATATTTATACATATAGAATATGTTCATGTATTAAGAGTATACAGGTTTATATCTAGTATGTGTAAAAAAAAAAAAAATTTGATTAGGCTAAAGATATTAATATTCACTTTTCTTGTGCTGTGCTCTCCTCATTCCTACTTTTCAGTAACTTGTGATGCAAAACTGTGGGACAATAAAGGATTTCTTCATCTTAAATAGAATGCTAGCTGCTCGTAAAATAAGTCTTCTTAAAATATGTTGATCATTCCAGACTTAAGAAGCTCTGACCGACGCTGCATAACAAAACAGGTGAATAGTTTGAATGACATGTCTTGCCCAACAACCTTATGACAATCTGTCACATAAGCGCCTGCATAAGTGATGTCTGCGCGCACTGGCTCTTTAAATGGCAGGCGTGGTTCCCCTACTACAGCCCGCCTTTTATGCATAACAGCCAAATCTCTGTCCGACTGCACACACAGTGCAGTAGTCTGCTTAGAAAGTGGAAGCTGTCTCCATCCTCTCATGTGTAGGAGCCGTGACCGCGACTACGCGGACTATCCTTTGATCACCCACCAGAGAACACCCGCTTTTCTATTTATACCAACGCCAACGTGACGCACTGCTGAAGACGCGCAGCTGTTGTTTCGACACTTTTATTGTTAGTATTTTTTTCCTCTCAGCGGATCTATGAGGACGCAGACAGGCTTTCTACCACTTCCAGGTAAGGGCATGACTTTCTGAGAGAGAGAGAGAGAGAGAGAGAGAGAGAGAGGGAGAGAGAGGGAGAGAGAACAGTTGGTTGGGGTCTGCCGTTGTGCGAATGTACGTTAATTGCCAATTTGTCAATTTTTGTCCATCTGGCGCTTAAGGTCTCTGCTCAATGTCTCTGTCCACTCGAGAAGGCGTGACCATACACACACATACGCAAACGTATACACACACACGCACACACTTGTGACTTGTCGACACCGATAGCAATAAGTGAACTCTCCTGAAACAATCTACTTTGAATGTAATTAGATGAGGTACTATCAGCTGTGCGCTCCCTCCTCCTCCTCCTCCGTTTGCCCGCCTGACACAGTACACTACTAAAACAGTGTTATGCAAGGAAAGCCTTGCGAAACTTTAACTTCTCAAAGGCAACAAAACGCGGTAGTTTAAGTTTGACTAAGGCTGGGAATACTTTGGGGAAGGGTTTACTACCGCTGTTCTGTGCAATTAGAGACACGATGTTCTGGTGCGCATTGGAGCCAGACAGACAGTGGGAGAAACGTGTGCAATAATAGTTTCCTCCTCAAACTGTAATGTGAGTGCACATGTGGTGTCTGCAAACATTGTGCTTATGACATTGATGGGGACTCAGAATTGGAGGCAATCTTTAGGAGAATTCATGCTGACATTTCCTGTAATGTCACTCCGAGGCACAGAATTCCTTTACTTGACTGTTATTAGGTATAGTGAGCTTTATCGTCTCGTGTTGTGAGGCTAAGTTGTTTGATTACAATTTCACAAAGTGTATTCTTTTTAATCTTATTGCTGTGTGGTGGTTTGCAGACCTCAGGAACAGGGAGTGACCCTGTCTGCTTCAGACACCCTCATGCCGGGCATCAGTTCCACCGCTCCCCACTATGACCTCTGGGACATGGACCACCTGGACCAGCACTACTTCTATGATGACCATGACCCGGATGAGGATTTCTTCAAGTCCACTGCCCCCAGTGAGGACATCTGGAAGAAGTTTGAACTGGTACCTACCCCACCCATGTCTCCCATAAGAGCAGCGGAGGGGTCGGCTAAGGTGGGGGTGCTTTACCCATCTCTAGGTGACAAACTGGAATGGGTCTCTCAGTTCTTGGGACAAGATGATGAGCAGCAGGACACGCCTTGCAGAGTGACCACCTCCACAGAGACTTTTGGGAACCTGAGTTCCATTATCATCCAAGACTGTATGTGGAGCGGATTCTCAGCTGGCCAGCATCTGGAGAGAGTGGTGGCAAATGAGCGACAGGCTAAACTGGCCGGAGCCCCTGTTGTGACACCTTCTCCTGTGGGGAAAGTCAGCCACAGTGGGGCTGGGGACACACCCTTGCACAATGGGCAGGCTACTGACTGTGTGGACCCTGGGGCTGTGTTCGCTCTGCCCCTGGGTGGACTCGGTAAGAAGCAAGTGTCTTCAGGATCTGAGTCACATTCAGACTCTTCAGGTCAGTGGGTCATTCAATTCTAATTTTGTAATTACAAATTACAAATTCATTCTTGTGATGAAGAATGCTTATTGAGTCAAAGTGTAGTTAAACATAGCACCTGGAAAATGTGTGGGGGCAAGTAATTTCAATTTTTTTTATAAAATGTGAAAAGTGAATTTAAATGTTTAACTAGGTGTAACAGTGATGTTGAAGCATACAGCACACGCATACATACTGATATTCTGTTTCTATAGTTATAGGATTTAGATGTGATAGCGTTAAACCGCCTGTCTTTAATGGCCAAGTTGCCATGTTGCACATGATTACTGCATTGCGTTACCTTGGTGCATGCAACAAATGCTTGAAGCCACCAGTGTCACGCCCATTCAAACATCTGCTGCTTGGCACGAATCCAGCGGCTCAGCTGCTCTCTTGCTTCTACTTTGGACTTATGATAATGTCCTTCTTCCCACCAGAGCCTCTGATCTGACGCACATTCAGTCAGAGCCTACTTCACGGCAATGTAATTGTAATAGTAGGAAAAAGGACACATGTTTCTGAAACTTTTGAACATTATCAGCTTCAGATCTACTCTTTGAATTCCATATGATCAATTCTGGTATGTTGACCACCATGTGACGTTGATCCATGCATAATGGTTTGTGGAATGCTACAAAGGGGAACTTGTTTCTGCATTCTTGCGCTCAACAGGCTGCAGCGCCAATTGTGTCAGTGGGTGGATTTGTCCCTAGCCAGCTCGGGATGTGAATAGACTGGGATTAGCCATTTAGACGGCTGCATGGGTTTCTGTAAAGCTTTCACCAAAAGTTTTTCACATGGTTTTAGGAATGTTACGTCTGTTTTTTTTGTTTTTGTTTTTAATGGGGGGTTGACATGACTACATTGAACAATGATAAAGGTTTGCAAAACGTTAGTTCATGTAATACTAGTCTTCTGGTTTTTGAGAACCGGTAGACTGATGGATATTATTTTAGCTGTGAATCATTTGACAAATTGATGCATAATAATTAATGAATAAGCTATGTGGATATTGTGAAAGACCCCAATCTATTGTTAATTAGTAAAATGCAATTCCTTTAAAGTACAGCAATAACTAAGCTCCTTTTACTGATCAATGGATGGATTAGTCAGTTTGTTTTCATAATGCATTTCATAATTTTGTACTCATGACCTTTTTTTTTAATGTTATAGATGATGAAAATGACAAAGAAGAGGATGAGGAGATTGATGTGGTGACAGTGGAGCAAAAGCAGCAGCGGAAGCCTCGTCGCCTGGTGAAACGAAGAAAGCCTGTGACTATAACCTTGCGAGCAGATCCTCTGGATCCTGGCATGAAGCGATTCCACATCTCCATCCACCAGCAGCAACACAACTACGCTGCCCCCTCCCCAGACACTGTGACCCCTGAACCGATCAGGAAGCGGGTAAAGCAGGAGGCTGGTGCTTATGAAACGCTGAACTCTCAGCAGCAGCAGCCTCGGCTGGGCTACACCCCATTGAACTTGGATAGTAGAAAGTGTCACATGACCTCAAGCACCTCCATCAGCTCAGAGTCTATAGACTTTAGTGCCTCTTCTCCTACCTCGTCATCTTCTCCCTCCTCACCTGAATCCTCTTCCCAGACCTCACCTGTAAAGCCCCTTCCCCTGTCCCAATTTTCTAGTCCCCAGTCATCAGATTGTGAGGACACAGACAAACGCAAAGCACACAACTTTCTGGAGCGAAAGCGTCGAAACGACTTGCGTTCCCGCTTCCTCTCGTTGCGGGATGAGATTCCAGGATTAGCTGATTGCCCCAAAACCCCCAAGGTGGCTATTCTAACACGGGCCACGGAGTACCTCCAACAGTTGCATGACAACGAGAAGCAGAAGACCTCTGAGAGGAAGCAGCTGAAAGCCAGACGGCACCAGCTCCTGCATCGACTGGCCCAGCTGAAACGCTCCTGAAAGACCCTCACGAACACTTCAGACACTTATTTTCACTTTGGGTTGATCACGGTGGATTGTTTTTGATTTTGTGGTTTGCACATTCGTTTCTGAGTGATTGAGACCATGAACCAGTTAAATAGCAAGCCGGGGACTAGAAGTGTGGATGACTCAACTGTTATTAATAAAGCTTTGTAAAACTAAAGTTTCCTTTCTACAAATAGTTAAAAGATTTTGCAGCTTAAAGTTGAACTATTGCTACCACTTGGTCTGGTTCAATGGCCTGGTTCATCTGTTTTCCAATGCCTTTTTTTCTTTTGACATGTATCATATACATTACAATATTGTTATAACCTTAAGTTTCCAGTAGCTTTCAAATGTTTAAAATGTAGACACTATGATTGTACTAAAGATCTTCTCTGGCTTCTTTGCTATAATTTATGCCTTCTCCCATGATGTGGACTTGATAGGCCTGAAGTTTCCCTTGAAATTGTGAGGTAACAGCACATTCTAGTGATTAAAAAGTTACCTGTTTGTGCTTTATTCTAAGTATTTTCGGTTTTGTTACTTCGTTCATTATGTATCCATTTAACATTCAAGTGGTGATGTCTAAGGACAGTTTCCCCTCTTTAATGTATTTTTTATGTGACCATAATCTCTGCACCTTTTGAAATATGGTTGTGCCTGTCTGTTCTGTTGAAACCCAAGTGTTTGTTTTTTGCATGTGGGATGTCCGCAAAGCAGCACCATGCCTGCAGAAACAGCCCGTTTGTAGCACCATTGTGATATTTATTACCATTCAGGCAAATCTGATTTGATACATATTTTCATTATTGTGCCATAGAAATCAGCCAAAAATATTTATTGGTTAATTAAAATAAACATTTTGAAAATGGTTTTGCACAACATTTTGCAATGTGCATATCGATTAAACCATATTTTGATCTTCCTTTTTGAGTTGGTGTTGGTGTGTAATTGCCTAGAAGCCTTTTTCCATGTATGTCAACTATCCAGTTGGATGTAATGTACAGTCTCATTATATAGCCCCTTTTGTTTAAAGCAGAGCTGGTAAAACTCAGTTTGGCCCCTGTGACCTACTGTAAACCAGAGCTAACATTGCTGGCATTTCAAATAAAGCTCAAAAGCTTATATTTTTGTTAATAAAAACAAAAAGTCAAATAAAACCCTCATTGAGCACACTAGTCACTTTGTCGCCTTCTTTTGCAAAGCATACTTTCCCTGACTATAAGTGTATACTTTATTTTTTCCTATACAGAGCCTTGTTCTGACCATGTGAGCTATGAACTGTTTTTTTCTTTGTTCTTGTGGCTGGCAGGGATTTGTGTGGTTTTTGCCGGGAAACTTGGTGTGCATCGCATGGCCCTCTGTGTGAATAATAATCCCTTTAGCTGAAGCGCTTACGGGTAGGGTGCAAGGAAAGAGGATCTCACGATTAAACTTTTGGCCAAGTGTAAACCATGACCTTTACAACTGCTCTATTGTGTTCAAGCCATGTGACATATGACACTGTAGCCCTCAGACGAGTACTGTACCAAGATGGCAGAGTAAGCCACTGCTCACTCAGGAAATCCCAGTTAGTTTGTGATGACAAATGTGCATCACCTTTAGAGGGCCACTGCAATGCATTTTGCTAATTAATGGTATGAACTGTCAACTCGTTGAAATATTGTTTGTATATATATCCATGGGTTTCAGAGAGATAGAATTGGACAACTTGTGAATTGGAAATTCCTTAAATAGTTGCTTGAAACATAAAGCTGAAACCCGTGTATACAACTTAATCCTTGGTGATTCACTGTGTGTTTGGTTTTATTCTGACTGATAATGTTCTGCTCTTGGCTCTGTCTTGTAGCAATGGATATTTGCTTACTTTAAGTAATCAATAATGTTGTTCATTCAGAGCCTTATTTCAGCACTTTCTTTTTTTTCTGTACCTCATTGCCGCTATATAGAGCTAGAAAGTTAATAAAAATGTAATTGTTTGATGTCATAGCATCTTTACTACTTGTTTACACTCCACATGTTTCAAAAGATACCTATAGACAATACCTATATTTATTATCTGAATTTATTCAAAAAGGTTGTCTTTTTGTCTTTAGCGTTATTTACTGAATTCTCACTGCACGGAAAGAGTTGTATAAAACTTAGCTATATTCTATGAGTGAACACTCGCTTCATTCACTATTTACCTGAATAGTCTCCAAGGCAACACATGATGGCATCTTCATCGTGACAACAATCTTCAGGTGTTTCGGTAGAAAGAAGTTAGGTTTCCATAACCACATATTACTGTGAAACCTATTTCCTTATTTTTTCACATTAATAATTTAATTCCCTGTCTCAATATAATCTCAACATAATTTTGAGACATCATGCTCTGTCAATCAAGATGGCGTTACCAGAGTAATGCCTTCTTGTTGCTTGGCAACTGCATTTGCAGTGCATCTTTAAGTCTAGTGCGCACGCGCGGGGCAGTCAGCTGGTACAATGCGGAAGCAGAAGCATGGCGGCGTCCTCTGTCTGCGTGCAGAGCGTGATGCAGAGCTCACTGAGAGCAATGAGAGCAGTGCGACCGTCTATGGTTGTAATTCTGGGAGCTACGGGAACAGGGAAGTCCAAATTGGCTATAGAATTGGGACGAAGACTGAAGGGAGAAATTATCAGCGCCGACTCCATGCAGGTACGACACGCGGGACGAGGGTCCGATGTGTGTATGTCAGTGTCACCCATCCAGGACAAAAATACTTTTATATGTGGTCATTGACTGTATAAGAATTACTATATTCTATTCAATAAAGCAAATGTCCAGAGTGCCTGATGGCTGGCGTGGTATGACTGCCTCCTGACAGGCATGGCATTGTGTGGATTAGAAGTCTCGTTTTAACCATAGACTGTAAATATTAACCTATAGTAGACGTAATTGGCTGCATTGCTTTGTTCTCATGGAGTTTTCTGTAAATGCATGATCTGACGGTCCTAGATGCTGTACGCTAAGGAAAGGAACGTCTGTGAGTGTAGAATTTGTTATCAGGCCTTTATCGAATACAATGTTATAAACACATGATCTTCATTCAATTAAAATAAAATGGCTAAAAACCCAGATTGTCTTATACTTGTAGAGTATTGTATTTGTATGGATGAAAAAAATGGGGTATCCACGTAGACTATAATGATTTGACATTGTTTTAGATGTCTGGTGTATATTTATGCCGCATTACCGTCTGTAGTTTTGCCAGTTGTCTTGGCTGTCTTTTCTACAAGCACCTAACCCTTTGATCAGCTGTGTCCTTGAAACTGTATGTCCCTGCAGAGAACTGCTCCTCCTGCAGTCACCTGCTGCTTGTAGGTAAACTGGGTTACTTTAATCATTTCTGCCTAGAATATCCCAACAACTCCCAGATCTTGTGGTGAGAAACTGTGGCCTAGTTTCAGACTCCTGCTACTGACATAGAAACTAGGTAGATTCCAAAACCAGTATGAGCACTTTATATGCAGTACTTGTCGATACAAAACACAGATGCAAGGCTTTATTTACCAGAGCTTTTATAAATCTAGTATTTTAAAATCATTGCACAATATTAGTCTTTATTATAAATGAATTAATCGCTAAAGTATATATATTTTGATTTACTTTGACTGGAATAAGCCATGTATGTATTTATTATAAGTTTGTTATGCATTTGTAAGTTATTATTACTTTGTTTTTGCTCCTCCCGGTAGTGTCTGTCTCTCAGACGCATATTAGCACTGGAGATCAGTGACGAGTGGCTTTACACTTTGGTCAGCATTTGATATGGAATAAATAAGCAGCCTTTTTTGGTCTGAATACACTCTTAGTCTTAGAATGTGAATGCAGCAGTGTGATACGGCTGTGTTGTCTATTGGATAGGAAACAGTCTCGGCTTGTTTTTTCATTGTGCTGAGCTGGTGGAGGTCTTAAAGCGTGCTGCTCTGACCCAGCAGCTGAGCGAGAATGCCATGCTGTAGCCACTGGAAAGTGTCTATTGTCCCACAGAGAATTGGTTCCCACACTCCCTTACACTATTGTGTGCTTCTAACCCCTCCTTCCCTGGATCCAAGGACCTATATACATTGGAAATACTGGGTATATTAATCATGACATTCTTTATCTGTATTAGTGGTTTGTGTATAATGAGCCCTGCTGACCTGACCTCACATGTCATGGATCTGTGCAATAATTCTAGAATGTGCAATATGGAACCACATGTGCCCACTGTCACTTTTAGCCCAGAATCTTATGCTATCATGTACAGTCGTTTCATCACTGTGAACATTTGAACCATCAGAGCTAATGACTCACTACCTTAAAGGAATAGGCCACCGTTTTTACATACTGACATATGTTCTTACCTTACCTTCGACTATATGTACCTGTCTGGTCTTTGTCCGTGCACTCTGTCATGAAAAACGGAGCACAAATGCAGCCTCTTCCACATACTGTATAGTTCCAAATCATCTCCCGTTAGAAGCTACCAAACTCTTCCACGTGTTCCCTATTTAAATACAGCTGGTACCGAATCTCCTTCAGGTGATATGGTATGTGTAAGCATTTGCAGAGCATCTTTTCCAAGTATATTTGTTCCAATAGCGATCTATCTAAATGACGTCACTATGACACGCCCCTGCCGCCTGTCAACTCCCGCCCACATGTTTCGGACAAACACTGTCGAAATGAATCAAATACCACTTGTCACTTTAGACAAAAATGAGATACCAGGAGCAAAATTCCACCATCAAACCATCAGGAATCATAGTGTAGACCAATTAAAACGTTGGCTTACATGTCGTGGTCTGTAACTGGTAGAAAGTTTGAATTGATAAAAAGGTAATGGTGAGGATTATGCTAACATTATCTTGTCTTTTAAATTGCAATGCTAGCGCCTTCTTTGTTTATTTTGCTGTGATTAACTTCCATTTATCACGTTTTTTTTTTGCACTGTCCACTTTGTAATTAGTTTGATCATTTAGTTAACTACAGTCAGCCGATATTATGATAGATCCATGGGGTCACAACGGGCTACGCCACTACTGTCTCTGCAGAGAGAAACTATCGGAGCTAGCCACACTCAATAAACGCAAATGACAATCAATCGACACCTTTAAATGTTAATTGGAGAATATATTATACATATGCATTCGTAACACAAGTGCACGGAGGTTTTCAGAATTATCTGTTAAGGTTTTCATGACATAAATACTTTTTAATGCGACTAAAGCGATCGCTTTTTTGAAGTAGGTTAAAGGCGCTATACCCGTTTCTGCAATGTTTGAATGTTTAGCACCGCCCCCCAACTCGCTCACAGGCTTCTAATTTCCCCTACGCTCTCATAACATAGAGCCATCTAGTTTTATTTGCAATCTGATACGTATGCTAACATTAGCATTAGCGCAACTTCTTGTAAGCTGTACAACAATCACTGATGAAATGGTACTAAAGCAATGCACTGCTAACACAATATATAAGTAAAAGAATACCGCTAGTTTCGCGTCCGAATGTATTAATTTAAACATTAGAATATATTCTATTATTATACGGCTCCTCACAGCAGCAGTAGAACGCTCCATTGATTTGAATGTAATTTCAAAACGTTCTACCGGTCATTATTTTCTATAACGGACCTGTCAAAACAATAATGACCGCTGCCCATGGCAACGCAAGATCCTGATCAGATCACTCCGCAAGTAGTCCGGGCACTTCGTCAACGAGCTTTGAGCGACACCGTCTGGCCGAAAACATGAGCGAGTTTAAAGTGGATTTTAATATTTACGGGGAGTATGGAGATTTTGATCACTGGTGGGACGCACAATCTAATTTGCCGTCTCCCAAAAGTAAACGAAAACCTCAAGAAGAACAGGAGGAGAGCAACCAAGAACAACAGGAGGTGGAGAAGACTAACAAGAGGCATAAACACCTAACGGCTGACGAGATTAATGAAATAGAGGAAAACCGTCATGAGACAAACACAAAGAAGAGCACAATTTGGGCAATGAAAGTATTCAAAGATTGGATAAAAGAGACCAACAATACGTCTGTTGCGGATAATGCAGATGGGTTGAACACACTTTTGAGAATGTTTTATCCATCCGTGCGTACCAGCGCTGGAGATGTCTACTCTGTGGCAAGTTACACTGCTTTGCGTAGCGGAATAAACCGTTATTACAGCCAGTATAACATCCTAAAGAATCAACTATTCAATTCCAGCAACAATATTTATAAATCGGTCATAAAGGCAAATTGCAAGAGTGGCAAAGATACCAGCCAGCATCATCCACCAATCTCCAGCACTGATTTGAAGAAGATAAAAGATTCTGGTGTCCTCAATTCAAGCACAGCGATTGGCCTTGTGAGAAAAGTATGGTTTGATGTTCAGTTACACCTTGCACGTAGGGGAAGAGAAGGTAACCGGGACCTAACACGAGAGTCGTTTATATTCAAGCAAGATGAAAATGGAAAAGAATTTATCACATTATCCCACAACGCTGACACAAAAAATCACAAAAACCCCTTGGATCCGATGCAACAGATATATCGCGGCTGCATTTTTGCTGAGCCAACAAACCCAAATTGTCCAGTTGCAAGCTTTAAATTGTATCTTTCCCTTTGCCCACCGGATTCCACTGCATTCTACCTTCACCCTCTTAGAAAGCCACAGGAAGACCTGAACCAGCAGAACATCTGGTATTCCAGGGAGCCCATGGGGCATAACGCACTGGGACAAATGATGCCAAATATTAGCAAGGCAGCGGCACTTTCGAGGCGCTACACCAACCATAGTCTGCGCAGTACAGCTGTGCAGCTATTGTCAAAAGCCGGCCTGCAAACACTGGAGATTATGACGGTTACCGGACACAGATGCGAAACCAGTTTGAAGAGCTACTGGACTCCAACAACATCTGACCGGGAGAAGTGGAGCCAGATCCTTTCTGGTGAGTTGCCTTATTACATTTTTCCCTTCTATCCCGCAAGCCCTGTTCAGCATATTTACGCTAGTGTTATCTATTTCCCTATTTCCAGAGGCGCCCACTACACCTGTCTCTGCAAGAGAAGCTGGGGGAATCGCTCCTGAGTTTAACGGAAGTAAGGCTTTCAACTTAGCCAGAGATACACCACCATTCCTCATCTCCAACTGCACCTTCAACGGGAATGTCCAGTTTAATGTGAATAAGTAGCTGAATATTACACGCAAAGCCACACTGCCTGCCAGCGGTTGCCGAGCAACGGGAAAACTTTTTGGGACTACTTTATTTGTTGTCATTAAATAAACTTTTGGCATTCATAAAAGTGATTTGAAGTTTATTTTGTGTGTTAAGTTGGTACAAAGCAGTATAATAAGCGGGATAATGTATAGCATACAGGTCATTATCGGAAAATAAGTACGGACGGGGGCGGAAGCTTCGCCCTGTCGGTACTTATTTTCCGATAATGACCTGTATGCTATACATTATTCCTTACATATTTAGTTATAATTTATTATACTGCTCCTCACAGCAGCAGTAGAACACTCCATTGACTTGAATGCAATTCTTCCAATAATTTTTTCTTGATAACAGAACTCTCAAACCAATAATGACCGCAGCCCCGATGCAATTTCTGTTTGTAATTCAGGTGTGTAAAATACTACCATTACTCCGCAAGTACAAGCTATCAGCGCCTGTCAC